ATATGCCATATATATATATAAGTGTAATTTTCCCCTAGATTTTAACTCACTGAAAATGTCATGAAAGAGTTGAAATACAGATACATGGTTCATGCTATTCTCACTCTTAGTGCCCGTAGGACGACCGAAGTTGACGTCATTGAAAATGCGCAGACAGGCAAAATAAGATACTTTTGCAGAGAATTTTCATTTTCTGCCTTCGTTCAAGTTCGTTCGTCTCCAGAGACTGCTACGGATTTGCCACGTTCAACTCAGCACGAAAAATATTACTCATCTGATATGCAATCATTTTCAAGATTTATGATCACAGCCAGAATCATGTCTCGATCCCATGACAATTAGCATCTGATTCGATTGACAGATTTCATGACATTTGTGCAATTACATCTGAATTCGCTCAGTAAATGATCCACCCAAAAGAGCGTTACCAACGCTTATTTATCAGTCCGTTTCAGGGTGCATGACGGGACTTCATTGAAAGCGTAATCGGGCTGTGGGTGGACAAGCCAGAATAGCTAATTCACCTTAGGAAACATTACACAAAGTTCGATGATTGGTAGTCACGACTGTTACCGTAGGATTAACTTTGAGGAACACAATGAAGGTAGTAGCAGAAACTTTTCCAACAAACTGTCATTATTTATGAAATACATATTGTTTCAGATCGTGATGATGTTAAACCTATGATGGTTATTCACTGAACCTTATGATTATATAAGCTCGTAATTACGTTGTTTTTCGAGCAGCTGTAGCTTTTGTTTACTCTATCAAGACGAGGTAAATACAGGTAATGTATGTGAATGAATATCAATAAACCATTTAAGGTGAAGGTGACGCATGACACCTTTGATAATCGACATGTCTAAGCACAATCATTTGCTCAAGGGTTAATGAAGGCTTTGTAGATGAACAGCGAGCTATAAGAGAAAAACTAATGAAATGTTACCTTTCATGACATGCATTAAATTTGTGGCAACGAGAATTAAAACGGGACGGTAAGCTTTTCTCGTAGCACAATCGCCAATATTTCATGTTCGTTTCATTTCGTTTTAAAGACGCTTTGACATGACTTTCAGCACCGGGCGTCCAAATCCCAATGCTTCCTCGCAAAGCCACTTACATTTTGAATTCCACAGAGGAATGTAAACTGCTGTATCCTGTTGCATCAAGATTTCAGGAAAAATATGATTTTTGCGCATATCCTGAAGATCCTTCAAGGACGATTAGTAAGGTACAACATTTACTTTTGATCTTGAAGTATTTTAAGTTCATTAATAATGTCTACTTTGTCATTTCAGGGTGATTCAGGTGGACCTGTTACTTGGATGAAAATTTTACTCGGCGTAACAGCCGGTCTATCCGATTTTCCAGAGTTCACCACAACTGCGATATTCAGTGATATCTACAGTAATAAGCCATGGCTGAAACATGCTGTAAAGCTTTTGCCGAACACCGAAAAGCACGCCGTGTACGAGTTATCGTCTGGAGGTGCCCTATCCAAATTAACCGTATGCTGCAGGAGCCGGTAGAGTCTACAAAACAGACGATGCCACGTATAATAAGTCTAATTCCCAGGTTGCAACAAAACGTGGATCTTATTTTCAATAAATAAGCAAAAATTGTCATTGGAAAGTTTACCGCGTCAGTAATGTCAGCACAGAAAATTGCGTTGCATCACAGTTGACAAAAAATTCCAGAAACCTAGACGTACGACAACTAAGGGAAATAAACGAAGGTACTGATAAATCTAACAACTGCCAAAGACGGTTTATTAAGCGGCAGCCATGCAAAACAAAACCGAAACATTTTCTTTATTCATGTTTAAACCAATCTTAACTCTCTAAGTACTGTCTGAACTGCAAACTGGACCGTCGCTGAGGAGAGGGGGCATTAAGATTCATGTTCAACGCGCATCCGCACAAAAACCGACTCTGCCAAAGATCCTTATCCACCTGTTTTCTCAGACGTCACTTGGACATACATATAGCAACATATGCTCCGTCTCCTGCGCAGGATCACCATCACGCTTTCCAGTATTTCCCATGGCTAAATTTGCCAGCGATTCGATTACGCAAATCCGAACAGAACGCCCTGAAGAACACAAGAATCTGTTTTCGCAATCAAGACGTGTATATCATGATCGTTTGGTTTCAGCCGCATGCCGCAATATATAAACAATGCCATTATATCCCGACCCTGATTCATAACCTGGTTAGTAATAATGTGAGCAGGAGGTCCGTTGAAAAAATCAGTTATTAATACTAGCACAATGTACAGTATTAAAAGAATAAGCACATTAAAATTTTGAAAACGGCTCAGGTAAATCCTCTCATGCCATATATTTCATCGACTTATGTCACTGCGTTCGTTTACGTTTAGCAGGCTGTTACTTAGTGCCACTTAAATTCGTTGTGCACACGGGTCCAAACTGATCCTGTTCAATTCCCCCTTTACAATGGCACGAACAACGATCACCGAGGAGCAGGATGTATTAAATACGCTGAGGATGCACCAAGCTTCTTCTGATACCTCTTTCCAAGGATACTACTCCACCGATTTCACAAACCATGTCGATAAACTCGAAGAATTTACCTCAAAACGACGACTACCATTTCCATCTGGACGTTCTAATGTTTCTGCACTCACTTACACCTCTGTGTACTTTATGCAGGGTACATTTTCAAAACATCGCTGTTTAATCAAACAACGAAAAACTCATATTGAGGGGTCATCATCGAACAGAATTCCCTCCGGAACTAACAAACGGTACTCATTAAACTTCGGCAGGGCTTCGTTCCTCTGCAGCACTATCAGCTATCCGCCGTCGTGATTCGGTCTATTTGTGAGCTGAAGATATGACATGGTTAGATGTCTGGAATAAAACAGTTTCACAGGTGAAACGTTTCAAACGCAGGACAGTGCTGACCTAAGCACAAAAAAATATATGCAGCGAAAATACAGCAGTCAGAGAAATGACCACAATAATGCAGACAAATAATCAGCGTGAAGGTAAATCAGATGAGAGAGAGAAACATAAAACTAAAGTGATGGGACTGCAATTTGAATGTAAATAAAGAGATCATAGTAGAAATAAAATTGTTTAGGCGGAAGTAATATTCAGACGACAGATTAATAAGGCTTAATTTGTC